GAGAAAGCAGGTGGAAGGAGGGAGAGAGAGAAAGAGTGTGTGTGTGTTCTTGGAGAAGAACATCATGCTTGGAAAGAGAGTGTCAAGGAATAAGAGGAGAGCCTCCATGGACGAAGTGCCGCAGTGGCTGCAGCGATGGGCATAAGCACGTCTTTGCCCCTAACAGTATCCAGGTCATATCACCTGTAAGATGGAATATGATGCATTCTGTAGATTTAGCTCATAGCCCGCAATTCTACTGGATTCATATTATCTCTAGAAAGAGTTGGCTAATTCCCTTATATTTTTGCTTATTTTCAATTGTGTAATTTTCCAAAAACAATGCTTATGCTTGCTTCAATTCTTTTTTTACTGAAAAATTATTGTCAGAATTTCTACCAAATGATTGTTGTTGTTTGGTGTCATCAAGTGACCCTATTCACAACAGAATGAAGCACTGTCCAGCCCTCGACCACCCCCCTTCTCTGCTTGCTGCTGCAGTCAGTGTGTCAATCTATCTCACTGAGGGTCTTTCTTTTTTCACTGAATCTCAACTTTTCCAAGCATGATGCCTTTTCCCAGGGACTGGCCCTTCTGATAACATGCCAGTGTATGTGAGGGATACATATTCAAAGAAGCACTCTGGCTTCACTTCTAAAACAGTTGTTCTTCTGTTGTTATTATTAGGGGCCATGGAGTCACCTGTGACTCATAGCAGCCCTCCGAACAATAGCTCTGAAGCCTACCCTGCCCTGAGTCAGTTTCACTAACTCTGACACACCTACTCCCATTACCGCAGTTACAGTGTCAATTAATCTCATCTGGGGTTTTCCTCACCTGCGTTTTCACTCCTCCATTCCTCACCACAAAACCTCAAAACCAGTCAAGGTAAGGAAAGCAGACACTTTCTTTTCACTGGGGACATCTGTTGTCAAGGACCTCTCTAAAATTCTAAAGAGCCAGGATATCAGCTAAGGTATAGCAGCTAAAGTGTGTCTGATACAAACCAGGGTATTCAGTTGCTTCCTAAACATCTGAAAGTTGGACAACGAATAAGACTGACAGAGAAGAACCAATGAATTCCTTTGAGTTGTGCTGTTGGTGAGGAGTGCTGAATACCCCATGGGCTTCCAGAAAGGCACACAGGCTTGTCTTGAAGAAAGTAGACTAGAGTACTCCTTAGAGGCTAAGACGGTGAAACTTCATCTCACATACTTCGGGTATATTCAGGAGAAACCAGTCCTTGGAAAAAGATGTAATTCTGGGAAAGGCAGAAGGTCGGTGAAAGAGAGTAAGACTCTCCACAGGATGGATTGATGCATGACTTTCCCCAGGGCTTGAGCAGGACAGAGATGAGAGATGGAGGACAGAGAGCGAGACATGGAGGACAGAGAGCGAGACATGGAGGACAGAGAGTGAGACATGGAGGACAGAGAGCGAGGCATGGAGGACAGAGAGTGAAGATGGAGGACAGAGAGTGAAGATGGAGGACAGAGAGTGAGGCATGGAGGAGAGGGAGACATGGAGAAGAGAGAGCGAGGCATGGAGGACAGAGAGGGAGGATGGAGGACAGAGAGTGAGACATGGAGGACAAAGAGTGAGACATGGAGGACAGAGAGTGAGGCATGGAGGACAGAGAGTGAGGATGGAGGACAGAGTGAGGATGGAGGACAGAGAGTGAGACATGGAGGACAGAGAGGGAGGATGGAGGACAGAGAGGGAGAGATGGAGGACAGAGAGGGAGAGATGGAGGACAGAGAG